AAGGAATGGCATTGAAAAATTAATCTCTTTTTCCCAGATCATGCAGGAGAGACATCTGTTTAAATCCTTAATCATAGACTCCAGGACTGTCATACCTCTTCATTAAAATAAAATCTTACCTTTATTACATTTTTATCAGACTACACCCCTTCTTCACAGCGATAGGAAGCTAATCCCAGCAATTCAGAAGAGAGAAAAGTATAGTTGAGATTCTGAGCTGCTTTTATTTGACTGTACCCATTTCCAGACTAGTGGTTATTCATGTGACTGTAGTGAAGGAGCAGAACCATGATTATATGCCACAGCTGTACTGCATAAGCAGGAACAGCAGGACAAGAAAGTGGAATCACACACATAGTGTGGGTGCATACTGATGTAGTACATAATCTGGAGAAGTCTATAGCCCATCCTTCAGCAGATTTAAATCAGAAAAATGTCTCTGATTTAAGTTTCTATTCTTGCTTTTCAGTTGAAATACTACAAGATCAAAATAAACCATGCTCTCTGTTCTTGTGATAAAGTGGTACCTGCTTTGGTATCTGTCCAAAGTTGCTGATAAAACCCAGAATGGTGCTCTTAATCAGAGGATCCTTAATGTTGTTGAGATCCATCTTGTCTCCGTAGAAGTAAGGGTGATAGGTGTTAACTGCCTCCACCGCAGCTGAGCCATGTTGCTTGTGGCCGAAAATCAGATCTATCCAGCGATGGAGGTGTGCACTGACGTAGTCACTTTCCAGTGCCTGAGACCAAAAGAAAATTAATTAATTCAGTAAAGTGTCTCCATTACAAATGTGTTACCACTTTCCAATCCCTGCTGGAGACTTAAATTCTCTGCAAGTGAATCTTCATACTTTCAGTTTCTCCAGTACCATCATTCTCAGCATATCCTCACAAAATGTGACCAAGGAGATGAAAGGTAGATCCCCACAGGAAAAGGGAGGACAGAATGCAGCATACTTGACCTAACAGCCACAAAGAGCAATATCCTCAGAGACAATATAGGCAGGTTCCAAAAAGCAAAGCACAAGCACTCCACAGATCTTGGCGCATCCTCCAGCTTCCAGCACACATTAAAGCCTGTGCTATCACGAGTAGAGCAGGAGAGACTGCATGCCATGAACCAGTAAAGAGAATGTAGAGCTTATAGTGAAATGGCAAGAGGTGCTGCAAACCAAGAGAGGGAAGGGGCTTTGCAGTAGTAGAGTTGGGGTACAGCAGGGCAGCTGTATGACAGAAGCTTCAAGACTGCTTGGATTTTACCAACAAACATTTTGCTGCCCTCACAGGGCCTAAGCAGACACAGTCACAGCACCAGATATCCTCATCCTGGAAAAGCTCAGGGTCTGAACTTTTTTCCTCAAAATAACAGTTAACTTTGATTAGATTTGCCACCCATAGTGACAGGTGTGTGGACTAATGGGGGACCAGAAGAAACAATTAATACTGGAGAAGACGGGGAGAGATGCTAAGAGGCAATACTTCCAACCCAACCTGGGCTCCCTAGAAAGCTCAATGCAATCATAGCAGAAAACTTGTGCTTGGAAGACCCAGACAGCAAGCTTGTAAGCAGCAGGCACAAGTTTGAGTTGTAACTTTGCCTACCTCCAGGTCAGCCAGCTTTACCCATGAGGCTTCACTAAGTGCTACTGCCCCTGCCATCACCTGCCTCACCAAATTTTTGTGCATTCCCAAACAGCCTTGCTCAATGATTCAAGCAGCAGTGTTAAACATTATTAAAAATACGTTCCTGTCTCCAAATCATTTGACTGTGCAATACTCCCCGATGCTCAGTTAAAGGTCTCCCAAGCAGACCATCCCACCCAAAGCACAGCAGAAATAAACAAGCTAATGGGATCCAGAACAATGGCTCATTTCACAGAGCAGACAGTTAGCCCAGTGCAGCTGGTTTAAATGACCCTGCCCACAGCTATAACGATCACAGGGCAGCTCAGTGAACATGCACAGCATACAATCTGTCCCCTGCAAACAACAGGAAAACACTTATGAACAGACTCAGAACTCATCCTCATTAATAAAAGCAGTTACTCCATGAATTACAAACTGTAAATTTTGCTGGCATCACTGCCAAAGCAAAACAAAGCAACCAACAGAGCTGCAACTGTGCAGCCTCTCAGTATTTCACTGAGCGCTATGACAAGCCCAGCCAGGGAGGGAGAACTTGTAGTCTAAAGAGGAAGTAAATAAATTTCTTCAGAAGACTAGATTCCTAACTTATTAAATGTGAAACAGGGAGCTACTCAGTTTTATAACAAGAACAATTCTTTGTTTTCATATTCTTTAAAACAATAGAAAAACCTCAGCACGGTGTTGACCTGGATCTGTTTAAAGCACCAAACTCCCTGTGAAGCCTAAAAATGACCATGATACATCCAGTCTTGTGGATGATTTCAGAGGAGACAGAAATCCTCATATTTCAAAATTCAAGATCTCTAACTCTTTGCTTCATGATTATAGATGAACTTTCCCAGGCAGGCTAATCAACTTTCTTTCCACAGCAAGATATCTTGCACTCTCCTGTGTAATATACTACTAATACTAGCTATGGTTGGAGAGGGACTATTGGACTGACTGTACATGAGGTCTGATCAGGTGTGGCAAATATTAAGAACACAAGCCTATAAATGTGATCTTACACTTGCCAAACTGCTCCTATTTAAGATTTGAATTAATCTGTGAAAGTTGTGTGGCTTTATCAGCTGTGCCAGTGTTATCAAATAGCGCAGATCAGTGGAAGCAGGTTTGCAGAACAGAGCAGATGGTAGACAGGGCCCAGTATCCACATTATGTGCACTGTGGGGGCTTTACTTCAAACTAGATCTAGTTTGCTCTCACAGGCTGAATGCCACTAGCATCTGGAGTGCACATCTGGAGTGCAGCTTTTGGTTTTGTTTCATCCAAAACAAATCTAGTTCACACAATCTGAGATCACTCTACAATGAGAGCAAAATCATGCCATGCAGGGATGATTGGCAGATTCGTTTCCAAACGGCATCCTTACTCCAAAGTACAAGGCGAAAACAGATGTTCCCCATTGTGTCTAAGTGCCTTTGGAGGGCCACCATTACACAAGCAGTAAGGAGCACAGCTCGGTACTTTGCACTCCAAACAAGCCACAACATGAGAGACAGCATTTTTCCCTATGTTTTTTTTTTTAAAAACATTAGTGTAAAATCGCAGCAGCTTTCAGGCATTCATGGATTTCTGTCTGCAGCACCTCTGTTAGGGAAGGACAGTGCTGTCTTTCCCATGTTTGGGAAACCAGAGAACAGAGACTAAGCACCTTGGAAGTTCACAGAGAGAGAATGAGACAGAGCAGAGAAAGGAACCAGAAAGGGACCCCAAAACCTACATACCTTCATTGGAATCACTGGGGAACTTTTGCATGTTTGACCTCAGTGGCCAAAACCTATTTGCAGTGGGTAGCACTGAGTTGCCTCCCTGCAAGGGAAGGGGACTGGGCACTCCCTAGGCTCTACTCTTCATGTTAGCAAGGACTGTACTTCAAGCAGCAAGCCTGCAGTGCACACAACAGTTACACAAGGATCTCCTTCCTCATAGTAGATGTATCATCATGTGGTTACAGGCACTGAAAAAAACTCAGTTCTCTCTTCCCTCCCACTACCTTTCAGTGTGACTAGAGATCTGAGCCTCTAAACCGCAATCTAGGCACCTTCAGAGGTGCCTGACTCAGTAATATCTATCACTGTGTATGCACAGGAGCTTAAGCAGTCTCAATATGGCTCTTAACCTCTCTGCAACTCAGTTCTTTGGCAAGAACTTCTTCTCCCCTCAAGATAATAGGTTGCAAAAAGGCAGAGGACAGAACCTGACTGAAAAATGGAAGCTAGGTTCTGGGGGAAATTCAGACACTGAATAGAGTTTTCTTTCCATACCAGAACAAAAATCCCAACTCTCAAGTTTTATCATGTTTAAAATCCACCACCTCCACCCAGTTCTAAATTTGGAAAGATTACTTCCTTTCCTTTTACTAATAATGAAGCTATATACCATACAGTATTAGTTGTAACAGCTACAACATAAAATATTTTCAGTTCAGCCTGTAAGCTAATGTAAACTTTGCCATGAAAAGATAACTTTGAAATGTTTTGATAACAAAGACAGAAAGTTGAAATTATTTAGTGAGACATTTTCTTGTTACTACTGACACACTCCCATTTCAACCTGACTAGTTTTCTGGTGAAAAAACTCTTCCACACATTTTTTTCCTGGACAGGTCTACTCACTGTGTGCTTGTCAGCCCTGTCATACTGGGCTGTGATCTGAGTTATACATGTAACTGCTACAGAAATACAAGGTAAAACAAAGAACAAGAAGATTAATGTAGCTTCTGTAAAGGGACTGATTAGTTACTGAACGTGCTGTAAATTCAATCACAGAATCACAGAATGTTGGGGA